TTTGGAGCAAGTCACATATAAAACCAAGATCAAGGTTCTAAGATTTATTAAACAAGAGATTAAATGCAGAGTCCCAGACAAATCAAAACTCTAAATATTCTCAAAAATTAAATGGTCACAGAGTTAGATTCATGAGGATAGAATCAAAGAGTTTCAATCTAACAATCATTTCCCAATATCGCATTTTCAGACTATAAGACGCACCCCCCCCCCAATTTGGGAGGAGGGGGTACGTCTTATAGTCCAAATGTAGCTTACCTGGCTAGTAAATGTAGTTTACATTTACACTGGTGAAATATTATGTTATTTATTAAATATTTTACCACATTTTTTGCTTCAAAAAGTTTTTCCCTATTTTCCTCCTTTAAAAACCTAAGTGCGTCTTATGGTCTGGTGCATCTTATAGTCCTAAAAATACAGTAACCTCAAATAAGCCCAAATAAGTCTGTTAATGTTCCAAGTTGTTTCCATACATTGAGAAAAACCAAAAGGCAAACAACTTGTAGATAACAGACTGAATAAATCACTTACATTTGTATGTAACGCTGAAACTTAGTCAATGCTCACAACCCAAGGAGGAAATACAAATGGTCTGAGAGTGCATACAACTCCTTCGGAGTGATTCAAACTAAAACTGCAAATTGTTGTGATTTCCATCTTTTCTTCCATAAAAAGTCCCTGGCAGCAGCCTACTGTACTTGGAAAAGCATGCACAGAATGAGGTGGGTTTTGATTGCTAACAATCATATCCCAAAGCTTTTTCTGCAATTTCAACTATACATAGCACTCTTCTTCCACCTTGGCTCAAAACAATTTTCCATTAAATCCAAAGAGACAGACAGTAGAATGGCAGTAGCCAGAAACTAGGGAGAGAGAGGATGGAAAGTAACTGCTTAACAAAGGTAGTTTCCTTTCGGGGTGATAAAAATATTATGGAATTAGAGGTGTTAGTTGCAAAACATTGTGAATGTACTGCTACTGTACTGTTTACTGGTTAATTTTATGTTATATGAATTAAACCTCAAGAAAAAATGAGTGCTAAGATAGATAAAATTGACCCTTTTAGAACTCTTCTCTTCTTCAAAATATTGTTACCACATTCAAATTCTGTTTAGATCTTAGAGATTTTAGCTAAAATGCATTACAAGTTAAATTATTACCATGTTTGCTCAGGAGTATACTGACATCAGTGCTAAAACGCTCAACAAACATCAACAGAATATTGCTGACATACATTTGTAAATAGTCTCCAAGAAAAATATCAGTGAACCTTAAAACATTTATTCCTCTATGACAGAATGCAATTTTAGTCAGCTTAACTGTGCATATAAGGGGAATTCAAATTTTTTACTAGACTTCTTTTCCCCAACCTCAACCAATCAGGAAAACATTGTGAGCTGATAAGAAGTCTGTGATGTTACATAAAAAGTAAACAAGCACAAGAATGACCAACACGGACATAAATAAAAATAATAGAGCTAACTGTTTTAGGGATGCAGGGCAACATTACTTTAATTAGTACGCCTCACACTTAGAAATGTATAGAATCTGCCTTAAGAAACTTTGGAGGAAAATTCCCCTGTATAAATGCCTGGCAAAATTAATCTTGTGTCATAACCTCTAAGGCGAGTGCAAATCCCGTCTAGACTCCAGGATTAAACAAAAGGGGAGTCTTAAAGGGGACACTCCGGAACAGGCTCATTTCGAGATCAACTGTGACTGTTCTGATGCAGGCCAGTCTGAGAATGTAAATCCACTGGAAAGCAACCCCAAAGACGCATGCACCCTGAGCACTGGCAGGGCCAGCGCTAACCAGGTCAGCATGCCCTGCCAGGGAACATCTTGCTCCGAGGTGTCCACCAAACAAGGATCATTTATCAGTTTATTCTTCACTCGGTTGGATGCCAACCACTTTCAAGATATATGGCAAGTGCAGACTGATTAGACCCCATCAAACTCCATTTTGAGCCCTAAGATCTAGAGATTAAAAATTTAGAATGCTGCAGAATTCTAAATGGTCTATGCCTTTTAAAAAATGTAAGTGAAGAATTTCAGATGTTGGCCCACTCCACTTTAAACACCACTGAAAGTCACTAAAGTCATTTTTGAATTTTCATTATGTATTTCAAAGGCACAACTTAGTAACTGCTTATATAACAAATTCAAGTCATGAAACAATGACAACAATTCCACAAGTCTGTCCTATGTAAATGGTATGAGTTTCTATACTTAAAGGATTTAGACCTGCAAAAGCAAAAATGTTTTTTTTGTCATTCACATGAATATATACTTTCTCAAACTTATAAGTAAGTATTTGGCAGGATACAAATAATGATAATAAAAAGGATATTAGGGCTGACAGGCAAGTACAGTATTACAAGACATAGTTCATGGTCAAAACAAGATGCTTCAAAGTTTAACCCTGAGACACAGGGTAGCAGTAGTAAAGCATCTAATTTGTGTCACGACACCTACGTTTGAGTAAACTTTTACCTATTAATTATGTGACCCTTTTGCTACTTAGCTACTCCTATACTCTCAGATTCGTCATATATAAAATGAGAATATTACAGCCTAACTAGGAGGATTAAATAAGAATGTTTTTATTCATTCAACAAATTTACTTCAAAAAACTTCAATTTTTTATGTAGAAAAAACTTTTTCAAATATTTTCAAATAAATCAAACATACATTAACTTTCAATATTACCAAAAAAAAAATATGCAAATCTGATTTTTAAGCTATGGTCCTGAAACTTCTTAGAAGAAAATTCTTAAATATTAGTTGAGAAATTCTGAACTGAAATAATCAGAATAAACATTGATAATGAAGATATGACAGTTGAGAGATCACATCTTTAAGAAGTTCTGATAGATAAAAACAGAATTCTCTAAGAGATTTCTCAGTGTTAAACAGAAACAGGGACCCAGATTTAACCCATAAATTGCTGGATCAATATCCAATTTCAAATTCAAAACCTTAACCCTTAAAAAGCTTTGTTTTCAGAAAAATGATATTAGGTATGAGACAAATTAGTCTTTGATACAACATGAATTTTTTTTCATAACAAAGCACACTAACCACTTACAATGTACAAACTTTAAAGTTACTAAAATTGTAATAGCTTTAGGGTCACAGAAAAAATTTAAGAATCACTGCAATATAAACTTCACTTGCATTCTGTACTGACCTAATAAAATTCAGCATAAAAAAAGAATCATAGATTTGAGTACTTTAAAGTTTCCCTTCTGAAACTGATTCCCAGAAAATTCACACTCCCTGGAGCCATGGGAAAGTTGCTCTTTCCCCATCACTTGAAAAGTCAAAACATGCACATTACTTAAGCTGTGCATAGCATGAAAGTCGTTCACACGCGTCCACTCCAGCTCAGTCCTCCACGAGACAGTTCCCCCTCCACGTTTACCCAACTGCTAGTCTAGTTACTGTCAACGCTTGTGGAAGGACTAAGAACTAGTGCAGCTCATTAAATTTCGTATACCACATAACCTGAAAACGCTTTGAATTACTATAAACGTGGGCGAGCACCATTAACTGGCGTGTTCTCTGCACAGGTCAACCTTCCTGTTCAGAACACAAACCAGACGGGTCACCCCACTGAGTGTCGAAGATTGGCAAGCAAGGCATCCACACAACTTTAAGACGAATTTCTGCACACCTAGGTCGAAACTGGAATAGGAGAAACTCGAATCATCTTTCTCCCTCCCTTGGAAATGGGCTTGGTAGGTGCCTTTCAAAAACTAAGTTAAAGGAGAAATACCAATTCCTTGTTGAAGTTTCATACCCCACTACCATAAGGGCAAATATCATGAACAGCTGTCTCTTGAGAAGCCAAAAACAGTCAGAACAGAACAGTTGTTGCCAATTTTTGAAAATTGTAACAACGTTTCGAAATCGCGTGGAAACTGCTTTAGAAAGCAAACGTCCAACTCAGAGGAACGGCCTGGTCCGGAGTAATTTTAGGACGAATTGCTGAAAGCCAAAATTAGAACATGAGACAGGACACACGGCGGGCTTCGCCTGCGGACGAGCCCTCGCGCCGTCTCCCGCGGGGCTGCCTCGCCGGGCCCACTGCACGCCAGTTACCGTTGTCCCTCGGGCGGCCCATGCGTGATGCACGGCGCTTCGTGGGAAGAAAAGTTCTATTCAAACACTACAGTCTGCCTCCGCGCTGCCAGCGAGCGGCTTTGTTTCCAGTTTCGCGGACCGCTCGGGGATGTCAGGAGCGGCCGGCGCCCCCCCAGCGCCCCCGCCCCGCCCCGCCCCGCGGTCCGGAGAGCGGCGAAGCCCAGAGCTGTTTCAGGAGGAGGGGCGTCCCTCCTCGCTAACCACCTTGGACCTCGCACATTTTTTTTTTTTTTTGGGTCGTTGTTCTTGTTGCACTTACACGCTTTTTTAAAAAGACACCTGCCCCCACGGCGCTCCCCACCGCGCCCCCGGGGGGAAAGGAGGCTGTCCCGCTCCCTCTCCGGGGAAGCAGACGTCGTAAAACCCACTCGGCCCGGGCGGGGAGCGCCCGAAGGGGCTGGGGACCCGAGCGGCCCCGAGAGGGAGCGAGGCGGAGGCGGCGCCTGTTTACGGACGCCGTCACCCCACCCCCCGCCGCCCCGCGGGCCGGGGGGTCCAGGAGCGCCGCCCGGACGCGGTCCCCTCCCGGCCGGCCGGCCGCCCCCTCCCTCCGGCCCAAGCCCGCCCCCCCCTCCCGCGGTCCAGGGCGGGGTCCCCACCTCCACAGGCCTACTCGCCCCGCGGGCCCGCCCGGCGGCAAGCCGAGGCCTGAGGCCTAAAGGCCGCTGGCCACTGACAAGCCCCCCCGGCCGCTCGCGGGCCCGAGGCCGGGCGGGCGGGCGCTGACTGGGAGCGCAGCACCGGCTGGGACGGCCCCGTCCTCGCCGCCGCTGCCTATTGTTCCCGACCGAGGCCCGGCCGCGCCGCCCCGCTCCCCACGCCGCCGCCGCCGCCGCCGCCGCCCGCTGGCTCACCGCGCTGGTCCGAGCAGCAGCTCCTCTCAGCTCCGAGTCCCCGCGGCCGTCGCCACCGCCGCGGCAGCCACCGCCGCCGCCGCCGCTGCCGCCGCCACCGTCGACTCGGACTCCGTCCCAGGCCGCCGGGCCCCGGCCGCCGCCACCACCAGCGCCGCCTCCGGCCCCCCACCTGCTGCTGCTGAGGCTGCTCCGGCAGCAGGGGCCATCTTGTTGGTCGGCCTCCTCTTCCTCCTCCTCCTCCTCCTCCGCCCGGTCGCTCTCGTTCTCGTCCCCTTCCTCTTCCTCGGGCTCCCGCCCGCTCCGCAGACTGGGGCGGAGCCCAGGGCGGAGCCCGGGGCCAGGTCCCTCCTTCCGGGGGCGGGGCCAGCGGGGGGCGGGGCCAGCGCGGGTGGGTGGCTCTGAGTCACCCGCCGCCGGCGCCCCGCGGGGAGGCTGGCGACGCGCTCCTCCCGGCCCGGGAGCGCAACACGCCCAGAGCCGGCGAACAGGTTCCTGCGCCCGCGCGGCCCAACCCCACCCCCCGCGCCCCTGCGCCCGACGGGCAGGTGGCCGGGCAGTGAAGGTGAATTGGAAAATGCCTGACAGTGCCATCCCACCCCGCACCGCCTCAACCCCTTGGCTTTCTCAGCTCCCGTCCCCCCGTTCCAACTGTTCCTTTGCATCAGCTCGCCTCCCCCACCCCAGAAGAATTTGTTCTTGCTTCACGTTAGGCAGGTTCTTCATCACACCAGCTTTGCCTTAGTCACTCCTCTCAAGAGTTCCCAAGGAGTTCGGCCTCTCACCAGGGCGAACCGGGCCAAAGGCCCGCACGTTCACCACTGCACAATGTGTCCCCAGGCCCCCCGAGAACTGTAAGAGCTCTCTGGGCAAGAAAGGGGCGGGGGGACGGGCGGGGGGTCAGGGAAAGATTCGGCTCCTGGAAGAGCTCCGGGACCTAAAAGCTAACCTCGTGAGGACTGAAAGTTTCTTCTCCCTTAGGGAGAAGGAGTCATTTTGCTCTGGGGGAATGGGAGACCCCTGCAAAGCAATTCGGTTTAGCCAGGTCCTGACGTTTGAAATGGGAGAGAGATAGAATGCTTTTCGTACCATGCATCCCTAATTTCAAAATAAATCGTCTTATTAGAACAGAGCAGAGAGATGGCCCACAAACATGCACCCAGTCAGTAGTTCTCTGCATCGCCCTCCCTTTTTTGCCAAGGGCGCAGAGATTTTGCTTTCCTGTCCTTTCTTCACTGCTTGCATCACCAATACCACGGAAAGTGCTGTACTCTATTTAGAGACGCTTCTACCTTTCTCGTGATAAAATCCAGTCACTAGGATAGATAGAGTCTTTTCTATTATCTGTAAATAATATGTCACACACCTTCCTAAACTCTGGGCAGGGGAGAGTTCTTTTTAAGTTGCTAGCATCCTCCTGCTACTCAGATTTCAGCTCCTTTTCAGACCTATTGATGTCTTTCTATTGATTGGAAATGACTGCCTTTGAAGTGAACGAAATCTGTAACCCTGTCTTCAACCTACTACTTAGTAACCCCAGTCCTACAGAGAGCAAATTTCCCAGCTTCCACAGAGGGATTAGGCCGGCCTGCGCCAACCTACAGGCCATCTTCCACCTCGAACAGCTCGGCCTCAGTCCTCTGCTAGAAAAAACAGATTAATCTGTTCCTGCTTCTTCTCCTCCTCTCTTCTTTTCACTCCTAGGGAACCTTCCACAACAGAAGGTTTCAGCGGCTGTTGCTAGGCAAACATGCCAACCTAAGTTGCTTAGGGGAAGCCAGTAACTTCCATTACAACCTAGCAACCTAGATAATATAATTCCTTGAACTATTAATAGTAGTACCTCAGTTGGTAAAGTCTCTTCAAGGTTCCCTTTAAAAAAATAGAATTTTTAAGTTAAATTTATTTCATTAATATTTCAGTTAAAAGTAAGTTTAAAATGAAGGAGCTTCCCAAAATTCATTTTAATGATATAATTAAACAAACATTTGGCAGAAAAGGGAGAAGAGTAGCTTTGAGAAAAATACTGAATTGTTTACAATAAAAACTAATCTACAAGAAGTCATTGATATGCTTTACACTCCCCAGTTAGGCCACGCATATAAGATACAGGGAATAATTTATCCCTTGAGGCTGAGTCTATTTAGAAGAAAGACAATGTGGTTATTCAGCAAGAAAAAAGATATTCTGGGTCTTATTCCCAAATTAATTCTGTAAGAATTTTAGCAAGTGAAGGAAGCCCCTTTTTTCTGATTATGCTGTTTGCTATGTTATTGTTTATGTAATAGTAAAATTTTTCAGGGTATTGAGAATTAATATAAATAAGATTAAATATGTTGAAATTTAAGTTATATCTATTTAATCTTCTAAACACCTAATATTGTATAATTTGTTTTAATACAATGAATTTTGTATTAATACAGTGAAATAGTGTTTGAGAAATACCTTGAACTGAGAGAACACATTAAGAATGAATTACTGAAGACAAACAGGTTAAATGTTTTATGGTCATTTGTACTTAAAAATCACTGTTTTGTAGCTTTAACACAATTTAAACAATGTAGCTCTTTATAGTATATTTTACTAGTTAATTCTAATATGGAATGCTTAGAAATTTAGACTCTGCCTGGTCCTCCACCATTTGATACAGTATGAAAATTAAATGAGTCATTTCATATAAAGGACTTAGAACAGCATGTGGCACATAGTAAGTATTCAAAATTTTAAAAAATTAATCTTATGTATATGTCATTATAGTCTTTGGTTTCTTGATCAAATGAGGATGTCATCAAATAACATTTTTGCTCTTAGCATGAACCCTAAAAATATTAATACTGTTTTTTAGATCACATGCAAATCAGAGTAATGTCTTACGGATTTCTTTTGATGTATTTCCTGATAGGCCTGTACTATATTGTTTTTCCTTAGATTATGCATGTATGTATATATTTATGAGAATAGCCTATGCTTTTTAGGTTGCGCTGAGTGATGTTTTTTAAAGCTACTACATTCCTTAAAATTGCCCTGGAATGTGTAATTGTCAACCTAAAGCATGGTTTCTTATATGAAGGCTAGAAAAGACCTTGGATAGCAACCCATTTATTTCAGCAAAGGAGACAGTCTGAGACAGGCTGCTCGGATCATATATCTGACTTCTTATTCATAAATATTGTGTTATTGTGGAGGAGCCTAGAGAGCTGGAAAGGCTGGGATGGGAGGAGAAAATCCAAAGGTGAATGTGTCATGTGTCCCTGCCTTCAAAAAATGTAACAGTATAGTAGGAGAAATCCAATAAGGTAGGAAAGTTGATGGGTAGAGTATAAAATAGATTACTGCACAGATGCTACAAAGTTCTGTGAAAAGGCAGAAATAGTAGGAATCTTCATTCTAACGTCGCAGAACCTACCTTTTGACAGGTGGCAATACTATGTATGAGATCAGAGGTGTACCCAGTGGCACAGAAGTACAGTCAGCTCCCCATTCAAGGTGGGTAGGAATGAGGAAGAGTAAGGGATGGGAAATGGGAAGTGGGAGCCTAGAGTGTGGATGAACTACTACACCTGCTTAAAGTACAGCAGGGGCCTGAGAATTCTTCGGGGCCATTCGTGTAGGGGGAGGAGGAATGAGGCCCTCACACAGGAACATGCACAGATAGGGAGTACTGGAGCTGAGTCGTTTGCGTTTTCTTACCTGCTTCAGGTAAAATAAGGGCGGGAGGCAGAGCGAGGCCTCTCTGTCCTTCCTCCCCTCCCCTATACCTGCATAGATTCTCCATAACCTACCCCATCCCCCAGTCCATGCTCCTACGACTACTGTTCCTTAAGTTTAAGGCATCCTAGTGTTCACTGAGAGAAATCTCTAGGAAATAAATAAGAAATAGAGCACAGTGGACAAACACAAGACACATGGGCCAACTCCGGCCCTCCACCTTGTTTTATCTGGCCCGATGCCTTCTTTCTGCCCCGTGGCAGCACCGAGCTCCTTGCCCCTGGTTAAGGAGTGGTTACATGTATACAGCCCTAAATTACATTCAGCTCCTTGAAGGCAACTGCGAGGCTGATGTGGCCCCTGGTGAAAATTAATTTGACACCCCTGAAATAGAGGAAAATGTCCCCAGCAATTACACAAAGGAAATATGAGGAAACCAGTATTTTCTGACCTACCCTTTACCTCCAGAGTCTAGTCTCAAACGAGTCCCGAGTCATCATCTACAAACTGGGCCAAACCGGTTGCCTTAGACTCAGGGTTACAATTCGACGTAATCAGGGCAGACATAAGCCAAGTCAGTTTTAGGATTTCCGGAACTAGGTCCCCGTAGGCTTGATTTGAAGAGAGCTAAATAAAATGATGTTTCTGAGTCCTACCTGAAGTTCCCTCCAAGATGACCTACCTCCCGTGAAGGCCTCCAACTCAACATTGAGCGTGTCTGACCTTCAGCTGACCTTCCGAGACTTATCTTAGAGTGACAGGAAACAGCACCTTTTTACTAAAGAGGCATCAAACAACTTTCAACAAAGAGGCCCACTCTAGGCACTTCTTTAAAGTGTCATAAGAGAAAGCAGCTCTGTTTTTCACGGGACAAAACTGGGTGGAATACTGTTTGCTTCGTTATCGTGCTAGTCTGCTAGGGCTGCCATGACTAATGCCACACACTAGACGGCTTAAACAACAGAAATTTTCTCAAAACTCTCCGGAGGCTAGAAGTCCAAGAGCAAGGTGTAGGCCCGTTAGGTTTCTTCCAAGGCTTTTCTCCTTGGCTTGTGGAGGCTTTGTGTTTGTGTCCTCATCACCTGTTCTTGTGAGGACACCAGGCATGTTGGGTGAGAGCCTACCCACGTGACCTCATTTCACCTCAATTGCTTCTTTAAAGACCCTGTCTTCACATAGCACCATCGTCTAAGGTACTATGGTTTAGGACTGTCACATATGAATTTGGGGGGCAGGAATGGACACAATTTAGCCCATAACAATAATACATGCTCACTTTAAGAATATCATACTTATGCCCCTGGCTGGTGTGAGTCAGTCGTTTGAGTGCTGACCTGCGGACCAAAGGGTTGCCAGTTCTACTCCCAGTCAGGGCACATGCCTGGGTTGTGGGCCAGGTCCCCAGTGGGGGGCACACATGAGAGGCAACCACACTTTGATGTTTCTCTTCCTCTCTCCTTTCCCCTCCCTCTAAAAATAAATAAAACCTTTAAAATAAAACATTATACTTATGAATAAAAGGCACCCTTGTGAACGTACAATTTTAAATATACTCAGTAAAGCCTGAAGCTTTTCCTTTTCT